CATTAGTACAATTATTTGGAGGAGACAGCATTATATTAAAGTCGATTAAAGCTCTAACTTAAAATCTCTCATTTATAAATAATTTTATGCAATATTTATTTCAAAAGAAAGTTGATACTATGGCCCGAACCCGATGCTTTTATTTATTTAAATACACTTTTGTTTTTATGCCTCTCTTAAAAAAATGATATTGCTTTACACATCGAGGGGCATCACTATGTGATTAGTCGATTCATCGAAAGTAAGATAAAATTAAATGTTGGATCGGATTAAATTTAACTGTCGATCAAGTCCATTTGAACTTCTATTAATAAAATGTTAGGAGTGAAAAACATACAACAATATGAAGATTGGGTATATAAAAGTTATTTGAAATTATGTCAATGGGGGAAGCTTAGGAGGTAAGGAATTGCACGTACTATGGCCAAATTGCACATGCTGCTTAATGTGGACAAGGAAAAGTTAAGGGAAATCAACTATTTAGGTACCGTTTGGTAACCATTATTCTAGAAAAAAATGTATTCTTTGTGTCAAATCACACTTTTTTTGTAGTTGAAAATGAAGGAAAAGTTATTGATGTGATGAAAAATATTATTTTATTGATGAATGTGTGGTTGAAAATTAGTAGAAGAATGAGAATGAAAAAAAGAATGAATACCAAACAGAGGCTTATTTATGAAGAGTGGGTCTATAAAAATTTGAAATTATATTTTAATTTCATTAGTTAGCCATTAGTTTTATTTTTAAAAATCAAGTGATATCATGCACATACCACTTGATTTTTTAAAGTTTTTTATTTTTAAATTGTATTCTTAATCTATTCTAATTATGAAAAATTCCCTACAATAAAATCACATGATCCACTCAATCATTATTTTGAAGGACATATCGGAATTCTTTGTTTGAATAGGTTTTGATGATCCCAAAATTAGCACAACCCGAGCATGTACCCTCGAGGAGTACTGCAGTCTATCCCATTGATTTTCGCACTAACCTCCTCCGGTAAAGTACCTCGATCACATAGCTCCTCGGTCACATAAGGGAACACCTCCACCACATACATTGGAAAAACAACATGAACCATTGCTTGGGACTTCCTTGAGGTTATGACTTAACCTCGTAGGTACCTAACAATCTCTGATCTATTAGGATTCTTCTATATGATAAGACTTATCCTATTTTAAGGAGTCTGAATCCAGCTAAAAATATGCTCTCTCTTTCTGAAAGGATTCTATCACTAGAGTTTTACCTCTATCCAAACTGGGACAATACCAATCAAGTTGCAACTTCTAAGTATGGTAGAACTCCTACGGATTTCAATAACATAACCCTATCAGGAATGTACTACTTGTCTCTATAAATACAACACTCCAATTTATTATCTAGGTACGCTTTTAAATAATTTTTAGCAAATTTTTTTCACAAATTTTCTCTTTGACTTAAGTATCGGAGGAATGACGATGACACACATCGACACATTTATTTCAAGTACCGTAAGATCTTGTTCGTACTCGTTCTCGGTCATCAAACTAGAAAATCAACAAATACGATTTTTGGTAGCATCATGTTTGATTTAATTTTAACGTACACATTGTCCACGTTAAATTCATTCATAGATAAATGGAACCTTCACAAATAAATATCTTTAATTATCCATTTCATAAACTGGCCTAACAAAAATAATCAGACATCTAACACAAATGGATTCAAGTAAATCACTATCAAAACCTCTCGGTTCTCTTATATTTAATATATCAAATAATTGTTTATAAAAAAAAAAATACGTTAGCATCATGGAAAAGACAAAGCAAAAGTGTGTCTTCACGCAAAAATATTCTCTTCCTGTCGAACAGAAACAAACCCTTATGCATGTCACGGGTTAAACCTAATACCTGGTGGGGACAAAACTGAAAATTTATTTATATTTTAATTTATTTGTCTGATTGCTTAAGCATTACATTATGTAGCTGTAAAATCAAAGCTAAGATGCAAGAGAATGGGACCTAATTCCAGAGTTTTCACATTTCCGAGGTGTGATCAGGTTAATGTCATCCTGGCGTGCTCATTTGTATTTTACTGCCGAAAGAAAATAAATTGGAAATGAGCGTCTCAATAAATTATTAGCAGAATTTTTGATAGACAGGTCAACACTATACTTCTTGTTTCTGGTCTGATATGCTGCAAAATAGATGTGTAATTTTGTCCCGCAAACAGCGATCGACTTAACTATAATGGTCAAGTTACTCTAGATTCTAAAAGGTGATGATGAGCTACTCCGTGAGTTGGGAGAATATTGGTCAAGTTTTTGGTAAGCATAACTCCATTTTTGCGTTTTGGGCACGATGCTTACTCCTTATGAATCTTTTGAATCATGAAGATCAAGCTATATAGGCACCATTTAAAAGTTCGAAGCTATATCGACTCAACTATGACAGCTTGTGTGCATGGTGGGATTCGAGATCTTTTTATTTTATTATATATTTTTTTAAAGTTGACTTTAAATGGCTCCCGCGCGAGTACACTAGAACTTGTTACTCTGAATTTGAGCTCTTTATTCAACTTTTAACTTGATTTTTTTTTTCCAATGTTAACTTATCCCATAATAGGTGGAGATTACTACAATTACATGAATTGTAAATTACAATTCCATCTTCAAATGAATAGATCCGATCTTAGTATATCTTCCACAATCCTTTTCTATTGTGCTTCTCAATGTTTTAAAAAGCATGACTAGACGGTCAAACCTCAAATTTTACAAGCCTAAATGCAAAAAATTAAAAATTAAAAAAAATCTTATTTTAATTATTTTAAAACTATTACATAAATAAAATAATGCAAACCAAACCTCTAAAATCATAAATAATAAAACATAAATAATCTATTTCAAGCATTTTATCAAACAATTAGGAAGTTAGAATAGAAAGGGAAGAAAACAACTAAAATAGCCTTTGAAACACTAATGCATGCATTAATCATACATAACACAAATTGTTATCCAATATTTATATAAAATGTCCAAGAATAACTAAAGTATATCAGGGGAAAAAAAAAAAAAAATTAGACTTTGGAAAAAGACAAATAACAGCATAGAAAAGCAAATATCATTGATGGTGGAGTTATGGATTGGTTGTCTTCATTCTTGTTTCAATACCTCATGTCAAGGAGTTGCATCATGGAAATTATGACAGAAAGGGATTCCAAGTGTTCCAATAATTTTTCTTTTTATTTTTGAATAATTAGGATTTAAGAGTCTTTAACAGCATTTTCAATGGACTCTCTATTTTTAAGGACATTCTACGATTTAGAGAGTAAAAAAATTTTAAATACTCCAACAGACTCTTTATATTCAACACTTAATTTTACTTTATCTGATATTTTCACTAGCTTCCCTTTAAATATTATATTAATTTTTTCATTAAAAATTAAAATATTTTGAGTACATTTAATTATAGTGAGTGTGTTAGAGTTGACAACATTTTCGATCGCTTAGACATAAACGCACTTTTTAGAACGTTGGTATCTAATTCAAATAATGAAGCTAGCCAAATGTGAGGCAAATGCAGATTCAAATTTATTGTACCTGTTTCTAGGTTAAATTTCAAAATACCTGCTTCATTTATTTCCATAAATATTTTTTTGTATTTTGACAGGTTTTGTGTATGGATCCAATAAATGGATATTTTCAATGGCACCTCCAAATTTGTAGATTATTAGATACGATCATAAATGAAGTTTGACCTTTTTGCTTTGCTCCATTAATATATATTTCATCATGGCCATTGGTATGATCACCACGTTCGATGGGCATTCTCGTACTTTCTCTGGCCTCTATCTTCCTCGAATTGAATGTCTTTATTTATTTGTATTAACTTAATTAAATTAGATAAAAAGGAATTTATTTCAACATGTTTAAATTACAAATTGAGTCCCTATTTGATACACATTAAAACTTTCATTATCATTCTTCTACTCATTTTCAACCACGCATTTTTCAATAAAATAATATTTTCCATCATATTAATAACTTTTCATTCTTCTTCAACCACAAATTCTCCATCAATCTACTATTCCAGAATACATTCTTCCAAAATAATGTGGCTCAAACACGAATATGAATGTGTTAGAAATGTTAAAAAAGAAATTAATAAGATATTGTGTTGTTTTTTGTTTATGAATGGTAATCCAATGACCCTTGATGATGTTTAAAAATGAACATATTGAATATTAAGTTCGAAATTAGTCATCAATGATTTTGAAAAAGACGACGAAAAATGCCTAGAAGATCTAGGCAACAAACACCAACCATTTCATTTTAGTTTTTCTCAAACATTGTAAGTATTTTTTTGAAATTATAGTTAACTAACTTAATCGTCGAAGTTAATTCGATTATTCCCTACTTCCAAGGGCCGGCCTCACTAACTCATGTCTACTTTTTATATTTTTTACTGCTTAAAATTTACCATATTAGATGAAAAATGTCTAACAGAATTCAAATACATCTCAACTTTCACTATTTTTTCTGTATAGTTGATATATAAAATAACTGAATAATTTTGTATCATCATCAATTGGTGTTACATTATAACGTTTCAATGATAACCTTGGCATCACATTTCCCACATATGCTTGCCATATTTATTATTGATACTTCAACTCATAAATTAAACTAAACCAAACAAATTCAATTATGGAGCAAACTTAAATTTTTATTTTTTCACTCTAAGTAATGCTAAATAATAGCATGTGAGGTAGTTTATGAAATGTCTACTTCACCCCTTATTACCCACCCACTCCCCCAAAAACCCGGTCGGTCCAAGAAAGCCACAAATCTAGCAGCCAATCTTCATATTCTATACATTTTTTTATATTTCCCAAAGCCGTCCTTCTCATTCCGTTTACTTCACTTTCATCTTCACCGCTAATCACGCCCCACCCACTCCACCACTACATTTCTCTCATAATGTCCAAAAGCTAACATTGACAATCACCACAGCATCACCATGTCCCTCCGCCACCTCCTCCTCTTCCTCCTCCCCACCGCCCTGTCTGTCTCTTACCCTTTCAGTAAGTCCCATCACATGTACTTGCTGTATCATTTACATTTTCCAGCTTAATTAACTAACTGGCATTCTTGTTTTTTTTTTTTACAGACTACACTTTACACATTGATTGTGGTGGCCTAGTCAACTCTACTGATGCGTTCAAGACTACGTGGGTATCCGACCGTTACTACTCCGGCGGCGCCACTTCTATCGTCTCCGAGCCCCTCCACTTCCTGCACGAGCAGGAGAAGACTCTTCGTTACTTCCCAATTTCTTCTGGCAAGAAGAATTGCTACACCATACCCTCTGGCGTTGGACGCTACTTCCTCCGGACGTTCATTGTTTATGACAATTTCGATGGCAAGTCCCACTCGCCTTCTTTTGACGTCTCAGTCGAGGGTACTTTAGTCTTTTCCTGGCGCTCCCCGTGGCCCGAATCTGTTTCTCGCTCCGGCGCTTACTCAGATCTCTTCTTTTACTTGGATGATTCTGAGGCGGATATATGTTTTTACAGCATTGCCACTGATTCGCCGGTTATTGGGTCCCTACAATTAACCCAAATTGACCCTAATGCATACCCTTTTGACTATACCAGAAATTCCAGCAATTACATATTGGTGAATTATGGCAGGTTTTCATCCGGGTCGGATCAATGGGGCCCCGGATTCAGCAACGACACAGATTTTTTTGGCCGGTCTTGGCAATCCGGTGCTGAATTCCGAGTAGGATCCGTGGCTATTGCTACTGGGGCAACAATCAAAGCCATTTCTTCTATAAAAAATGTAGTAAACGTTGAAAGAAGTCCAAATTATTTTCCCGAAAAGCTGTACCAGACCGCGTTGACTGTGTTGGGGGATGGGGGTGTAGCGCTGGAGTATGAGTTGCCTGTGGATGCCAAGCTGGATTATTTGTTGTGGTTCCATTTTGCGGAGATTGATGTTAGTGTGAATAAGGCTGGGCAGAGGGTGTTCGATGTGTTTGTGAATGGGGAGAACGTGAATAGGGTGGACGTGTACAAGCAGGTCGGGGGATTCGCTGCATATGATTGGAGTTATGTAGTGAAGAATTTAAGCACTACTACTCTGAGTGTGAGGCTAGAGGCAGTTGTGGGCGTGCCAATCATTTGTGGGCTCGAGAATTATGCAATTGTGCCAGTTGATCTCAAAACTTCTCCTGACCAGGGTAAGAAGCAATAAAAATATTTGATTGATCTTCAGAATTATGATCGCCTTGTTCTGGATTAAAATAGGGAAGAATTGTGTGTAAGAAAATGGAGGTTAGAAAATGGAGCATTTCTGAGAAGTTAAATGCCAGAATTGGCTAGTGATTGTAAATTATCTCATTCCTAGCTTAATTGTTTAGAAATTTGGAATGAACAAAAGGCATATATTTCAGCCATACTCTGTGATGGTATTCATAGTTAACTTATTTAGTAGAAGATGGGTTAGGGTATTTACAGTACATTTCTAGTTTTTTAAGTTTAGAAGGGAATTTTGGAGATGAGGTTATTACCTTCATTAACTAATTATATATTCAAAGGGAACATGCTAATAAAATTTGAAACTTGTTACTAGACACAAGTAGTAAAGAGTTCTTTTTTTGATAATTTGAACTAAATTTCTGCAGTCATTGCCATGAGAGCACTGAAGGAGTCACTTCGCGTTCCTGACAGAATGGGTTGGAATGGAGATCCTTGTGCCCCTACTACATGGGATGCTTGGGAGGGAGTTACATGTCATTCCGTAAATAATGAAGCTGTCCTTGTGGTATCCCAAATGTAAGCATTTTTTCTCTCTTAGGTGTCCATAAGTTCATAACCATAGGGATTAGAAAAATCTACAAGGCAATTTGTGGAAGAAATTGTGCAGTCATCTTCAATATAATATGATAATTTATAAGTACTTAATTCTTGGTATTTTGATGAACTTCATTGTGAAATCTGAGGAAGAGAGCTTATATTAAGGACCTTATTCAACTTTGCTAATTAATCTATTTGAGAGAAAAGTAGAAAGAAGACGGATCTTCTCATCAAAAAGTATTTTCTGGCTAGAAATAAATTATTGTTTTATTCAAATTTGTCTTTCCCGTTTCTTCCTTACTGGTTGCATTGTATAGCCTTGACAATAATATATCTGAATGGTAGACCCGTTTCTCATTAAGAACTAAATTTGTTTAGAGTTTTTGGTTTCTTACATCTGCGTGTTATCATTTGATATGGGTTCGCTTAGCACTGCCAACTACTACTCATAATAATGACATTGACCTCTCGTTGGTTTCTATTTACTTTTCAAGTCATTGAACTCTACTTTCACCTATTATTTTCTATTGTCATATCACATTGACTGAGCTTTAATTACCATCTGAAAGCATCCATTTGATTAGTGTCTATATTTCTACCAAAATTTTTCAATCTCCTAGACTCTTTGTGCTGTATTTTTTCAAACCATATTATGAAGTGATGGAAGCTTAATTGATATATATATGTTGAACTACCTAACTCCATTGCACATTTTGTTTTATTTTATTTTTCAGAGATCTTGGTAGCCAGGGCTTGAAGGGGTATATTAGTGACCAAATAGGTCTCTTGACGAATTTGGTAAGCCTGTAAGTATCAACAGTCAATTTTTTAAGCATCCGATGTTGTGTCTACTGATGCATAAATGCCTGCTCGAATAGAAATTATTTATCTCGCAGTACATTTTCAAATTACAATCCTGCTAATGAGCATGCAGAAAGAGGAATTAAGCCACACTGGACGTGTTTTCAGTAACTAGTTGGTTATGATAATCAAGTGATACTTTTATTGGCAGTGGCTATAGTTGTCATTCAATCTTCAATTTAAAAAAAAATATCAGCATTACATTCAGAGATTCTGTTTCTCCAACACTTGACATTCATAAACTGCAATGGAAAAGGATTTACTGTCAATGAACCTTTATTGAGTTCAAAATTAGATTCTGTAAGGTCCAAATTTCTCAAGCAATGATTCCTCAAAATTTCTGAAAAGTCACAAAGTGAAAAATGAGCTTGAATCTTTATGGTTCGATGTATTTAATTTGTTCTTGTCCCTTTTGAATCAATTTTACATCAACAACATCGGTTGGTGTGCAGGAACTTGAGTTCTAACTCTCTAGGAGGAGATCTGCCCTCAGGGTTGGGCGAAAGGTCTCTTGTGAAGCTGTAAGATTATACTTCCAGCATGCTTGTGTTTGACGTGTTTTACTTTGTTTGATCTATTTAGTTATATAGATTCTAAACTTTCCGAGCAGCAATATTTTCTATTCACTATTATTTCTCTCAAAAGTTATTTCTGAAGCTAGTTTGCATGATAGAAGCTCCAAAATAAGTTGTTTTGATTTTCAATCAAGTTGAAGATTTTGGTTCAGTTAGTAAATCTCTTACTCTTTTACAGAGGGTTTAGGCATATATTCTCAAAGGCAACAAACAATATGTTTTAATCTAGACAAACTCAAGAAAAATATTTCAATTTTCTATTCATCCAAATACGGTTATTTATGCGCATTGGTGCTACATATATGCTGTCTGTCTTCTCTATTCTTACAGCTAATTCTTCCAGCTTTTTTGATGCAGGGATTTATCAGATAATAAGTTTACTGGCGTTATACCAGATAGTCTGACTTCTTCCACTTTGCAGCTTGTGTAAGTAAATGGACTGACTGCAGAGGGGCTTCTTATCTTAGAGAAATATATAGTTGGCTTATGAATCATAAAACAGATAATTTTTGTCATCACATAGTATGAGTATTTTTAAAAGTAGCCTTCTAACTGCCTTTGAATTTACTACTTCCAGCAATTGGTGAAAAGAATATATACTTTAAGGATTTGTTCATCATTGAACATTGTACACATCATTAAAATTGCTCACAAACTCTTGTTTATGTTATCGAAATCGTGTTATTTTGATTAGGTTATTAAATGATAACTTACTGGAAGGCCGAGTCCCGGAGGAACTTTATTCGATTGGGGTGCACGGTGGTGCTATTGAGTATGTCATCACTTAATCTATTCTACTTATTTCCTGTATTAATTTTTCCGTTTATTGTTTGATTCTAAGACCTATAACCTATGTTACCTGTTGACTTCTGTCTAATGTTTTATACCTATTGGCTTGTGTGATCTAGAGTGGCTATTTACTTTTATATTGTTGTAGTTACTGCAGCATCTAGATTCTTAAACTGATAAAACCACTAGCACCAAGTATCTGAGATCGGCATTTGATAGAATTAGGTCATTTGTGGGATATGGGTGTTGATGTTTGTCCAAACCGCATCAGTATGCCAAGATTTCTTTTTCTTTTAAATCTAGAATATCAAGAATAGACTTCATTTAATTTCCTTCCAACTGTGTCTCTGTCCTCCTAGTCGTGACATTTGAGCCTCTTTTTAGCTGTTATTACTGTTCTAGGCACCATTTTTCTTCTATCACAACTCTCAGAAAAATGGAAAGGTGGAATTCTGTATAAATGAGAACTATTATGAGGCATGTATGTCTCACTTTTGCAACATTTACCTGATTGCAAGACTATTCAGCATTATGGGTACACAAATTTGAAACCGTAGTTGTAAATAATTAACCAGTGAAACATTTTGCATATATCTTATTGGTGTTCAGGAAATTATTAAACAGTAATATAACCTTAAAACATGAAAGTTTAAACGGATACAAACTCCACTTTCTAATTGTGCAAAAGTCTCTGCAGATCAGGCTTATACATTAATTAGCCTCCTGTTGAAGAGTTTAAGCCTTTTGACCTTGGGAAGGAGGATTTGGGTAATTGTAGTGTGTAACTCGGATTATAGAATGAGAATCATGTATGGAAGTGGATCTTATTCAGAGGCACATTAATAATATCAGGTAAATATGGGTTAAAGGGCATGCTATTCGTAAATTGAGGAAACTAATATTGGAAGGTTCCAAGCTATCGTCTTTCCCTGCATTGCACTTTTGCTGGGGAGATTTGATTGAGAGCAGTTCTGGTCTTTGAAGAGTATGCTTTCTTGTGTCTTTACACGAGTAGTTTTATATGATTTCTGTGTGGTTCGTGTACCTAGATTTATTCCCATGCTAACTTTCATCTGCACATTCCAGTATCTCATGTTTCATTCCAGGACCATGCACCGAAGAGCTCTATATTGGGGCAGTAGAAAAGACACATAACTTTGAGTGCAAATGTTGGTATATCAACTCTTGCATAAATACATACGTGTGAACTCTATCAAGTTTGTGAAAGCTTGCCTAGCAATCATTGTCCCACTCTTAGCACAATGAAATGTCATATGCTAGAATTTTTATAGGGTAGGGGATAAGGGGTATATCTGCCACACCATCAAGATATAATCACTACCATATATGTGCATAAAATAAACGATAGTTCTTTTTTCTAATGTCAGCTTCAATTCTTGCTTTGAAACTTGTAACAGTCTCTTTTACTTATCTAATGTACTTTTGTTTCTTTCACAGCCTTTCTGGCAACAAAGGCTTGTGTGGTGTACCACCTTTGCCTGATTGTCCACTATTTTGGGGTAAAAATGGCTTATCTACTGGTGGCAAAGTTGCTATCGGTCTAGCCTGTTTATTTTTATTATCGGTGCTGCTGCTTGGGATGTACTATTGTTGTGTGTGGAGGCGGCGCAATGACTATGACTTTGGTCTACCTCATGAATTAATGTGTAAGTTCTTCTTTAACTAGTATCAGTGTACAACGATGCGCGGTTCATGTTTTATTTATCTCCTTAGATTCTTTGATACCTGCTGGCACACAAGGTACATTCTACTCTTACACCTACACCTGTCTTCTCTTGGTCCTCCTAACAAAATATTTATGTTATGGATTTTAAAGTTGTTTTCTTGTTTACTTTTGAAGTAATGGCTCATCTTTCAGCCTTTTTATGCCACTTTTGGGGCAAGGCTTGCTCAGACCAAACGATCCATGCTGCAAGATTTTATTTCCTTCTCCTTTCCTCCATTTGTTCCTTTTCTGTTCGCGTTCACCAAAAACCTCTGTCCCAACATGCAAATGACTTCACTTTTGTTGACACTGTAATTGCATGTACACAAGTCAGTTGATCAGCCTTAGTTTCATGTTAGGTTAAACCGGATGCATCAAATGTAGCTTGCTATTTTTTTGCAACTGTGCTCACATCACGTTGTGATTTTTCCTTTGCTTTCTATAATTATTATGTTCTCCAGCTCTTGCTGCAAAGAGAAACAGATATCACAGACAGAAATCCTTGATGACCCTTGAAATGGAGAGTCAACACGCCAAAGGATTTATTCCAACTTACGGTTCAAATTAATTAGCATTTTCTATGAAGGAGAACAAAAATTTTGATAGGGATCAGCTCACCAAGACGATGTAGATAAGAATGTTGACTGTGTTGATACGAAGTGCGCAGAATACTGTGTTAAAGAGGAGCACCGATGCTGGAGAGAAGATATGCCCTTGCTGGGAATTTGACTTTCTCCAATCAATTGTACGAGGATGATGGGGTCTTGGAAAACCTGTATATGTAGAGAAATGAACTCCGTGTAGAACAAAGACAAAGTCCCTCGTTGTATCACTGCCAGTTTTTTTTCAATACTTTTAGATTAAGTCGATTGAAGCTCATAATTCTGGTTCATATTCTAGCCTACCCAAATTGGGAATTGATCTGGTATCAATAGTGTCACCAGGTACTCGTATCTGGATTTATATCTAAACAGTTTTACAATTTCAGCCACTGTCTTCATACTTTGGGACGTCAACCAATTGCGTTTTATTCTAGTTTTCTTGGTAAAAAAATGTTTCATTCTATTTTGTCCTTTGAGATGTTAAAGACTGATGAAGTGCATACTGTGTAAGAAAACGAACGTCGACAAGTAAATGCTAACATACAGAAGACAAATCCGATCAACCGAAGTTGCTTAAGTTGGTCGCGTCACCCCAGTTATCTGGCTTATCAACCATGTGCACTCAAGCTCAAAGTAGACAATAGCAATTACTTAAACAGACAGGTATATCAATCTTGAGAGACCTTCTGAATATGCACTAAAGTCTCTCTAAGAGTATACAGAATATCTTACTGATAGTTGTGATGGTGATAAATTGATAATACCTTGGATCTATTTTCACTATTTCCATTTGAAGATCAAAGTTTTGACATACTATTTTGATGTTCTTACTTTCCTTATACTTTGCATCTCAAATTCGAATTTTGCGTATTCTTCTCTTTAAAATCTTTTTTATGCTCTCTCTTTAGTGTTCGACTTCTCTTCGTGTTTGCACAACTCAAACAACGTTGAGGCTCATTGTATCAAGGCATATTTGCATTCACGTGTGCATCGCGAAGTTGGCGGTGACAAATATACCGTCTTTAAGAGAGCGACATTTTAACAAGCTTTAAAGTTGATATTGCCAAGTTCAAGTTTCCTCAATAGTCCAACTTCTTGTTCTTCTACTCATCTTCTCTTGTTCTGTAGGAAAATTTTTCCAACATTTTCTAGTATATAATTCCATTCCATCTTCGATCTGGATATGGGCCTTTTGTTATCATTCGACTTGAAACGACTATATTTAGTTGAGACCGATACTTTTTGAATCTGAGCTCATTTTTGGTATACATTCTTTCAAAATACATTTTCAACCACACATTCTTCAATAAAATAATATTTTTCGTCATATCACTATTTAAATCACTATTTAAAATACATTTTTTCCTCAATAATATCCATCAAATACACCCTGAATGTTAAGTGTATGTTTAGTACGTAATATTAAACCCTACAAGAAATAAAAGTACTATAGGTATCTTATAGGAGAAGAGAACATAATTTTGATAGGATCGGCTAGCTAAGAGGATGTAGATAAGGACTTCAAACGTGTAGATACAAAGAGACATGGCACAATGGGAGAAATGGCTCCACTGCTTCAAGATGTGACTAGAGAAGGGTTTTGGCTTTTTCCCATAAACTTGTATTAGAATGGGGTCTTGGAGGAAAAAAAACACATTTTTTTGTGGAATTCAATGTATCTAGGTCTTATTCATGAATCAAGAAAACAAAAGCCAAATGCCCCCATTGTATCATATACCCAATTCTTTGGGTTAAAACTCCAATCCAATGATATTCCATCCTCTTTAAGAATGTGTGGTCCCTTAAGCTTTGTACTCGTGTTATCTGTAGTTTAGTTTGATCCTTATCTCATATTTATCTTCAAAAAATTGTCTTGGGAGGGAGAATCGAGAATGGATTTGGTATGAAGTGACACTTATGTTCCGATGACTTGAATTTTCGTAGTTTTTACCAACTTTAAAAGCAAAAATACACGTCAATAAGTGAAGTTGACGGTTAAGGGAACGAGGGATTAAGTAGTTGGATCATATTTTTTGTGTACATAAATAGACCCTAATATTCATAAGAATGACGTGATTTGCTAAATCTAGTTAGAAAAATGAGGCACATACTAAAGTTAAGTTCGTTTCTGATAGTTACTTGTAACCTAACTAGTTTTACAAGCAAATGATTCATTAAGCCAAACACCAAAATTTATTGGAAGATTTCCAGAGATTGTTTATTCCAGGGGATGGAGTAAATGAGCTGAAATATCTATAAATTAATCTATAAAACTTTGACAAACAGGACATAAATAGAAAGATGAAGTAAAGATAAAGAATTTAAGAGGAAAACAAAGACAAGGGACGAAATGTCATGCAATGATGCAAATGGTACGACAAGTCTGCTAATAGTGAATAAGGAATCTAATGGTTTTCCATTGAAAAGTCAAAATTTGATGCATGGAAAAATGAAAAGTTACATTAATTTTTGTATCAAACTTTGAATAAGAAAATTATGCAGGTAACATGCATGGCCCTCAAATTAATGTTTTCCTTTGTCTCCTGCCCAAATGTCAAATAATTTTGACCAGTTCAAGGTATTGAAATTGTGGGACGGATAGATCCAATTGTAACCATCACCGGTTAATTCTAAGAGGGTCTCTGAACACATCGGCCAACATATATTTACTATTTATCTGGATCTCCAGACGAACATGTCACTGATGCTTAGTATAAAATAAGCACTGGGGTTCAACCTTTTTTTTTACTTAAAATACATACAAAAAAAAAGTCGTCAAAACGTTGCGTCCTATAACCATCAAACCTACTCATTCTTTTGTCTCCTTTCTAATGCACCCATGCAACCATGTCAATTTGCAGAGAGAGATGGAGAGACTTTCACTTTCATTTTAGACCCAGTCTGGTTTAAATAAAAATCAGATTTTTAGTATATTATGATAAAAGTTGACGAAATGTGAGGTTGAAACGTTGAAAAATTGTAAAACCCATAAAATGTGTGATCGAAAATAAAGTTTAAAAAATGGGGACCAATATAGGGACGTAGGGTGCATGTAAATGGATGAAAACGAGATTTGTATTTGATAGATATAAATTTTCTTGAACATTGAAATTTTTAAACGAGGAAATTAACGTGTGGGGATGGGAGAGAGGGAGGACTTGGTCACAAGTGCAGTTTTAAGATGACGACATTGTGCACCAAAAGAGCCTCAACCTAACAAAATCTCAAAAGCTCTTCTTGTGATATTATTAATAAAACATTTAATTGTGCACCAAAAGAGACTCAACCTAACAAAATCTCAAAAGGTCTTCTTGTGATATTATTAATAAAACATTTATTACTTGCATTGGATTTTGACTATAGAAATTAGGCAACAAAAAACCAAGTTGACAGATCTCTAATGCAAACCCTAAGACGACTATCAGATATTTAAAACAAAACTAATGACTTCACAAACTACTAATGTAACAAATTATGTCCCTATAGAGTCCTTATTTTCAACTGCAGCATTATTATGCCTTTTGACTCGAAAATAAGAATAAATCAAATTTCAATACGAAAGTGGTTGGAGCAGTTCCAATCGTGGCACTTCCTCCGTCCCAATTATATAGGTTGAGTTTTCTTTTTCTCTTATCCCAAATATAAAAGCATATTTCCTAATATAAAATATTTTGTTGTGTTCCTTTACCAATATATCATTATTAAAATTTTCCCCCACTTAATATGTCAATTTCTTGAAATAATCCAAACACACACATTTTTCACTTCTTAGAAACATGTAATAACTCTCATTTCTTCTTCTTCTTCAAATTATTTATTAGTTCCAACAATAATTTAGTTTTACATATTGAAAATTAAATAGGGGTAAATTAGGAAAAATCTTGATAAAAATTAATTTTTCAATGACATTAAAAAAACTTTCTTAATCCGTGTAAAAAACGAAACAAGCCTATATAATTGAAAAAATGTTATACATCCCCATTGGGAATACATCCCCAATCTATGTGGATGTAAATGATTGATTAAATGACACATTAACACCACATAGACTAGGGATGCATTCCTAGTGGGGATAAATAGCATTTCTCATATAATTGAGATGGAGAGAGTATAAAATAGATGTAAATTGTGATTTAGATTTTCAGATCGAAAAACTCTCCATTGGAAATATGCAAATGAAGTGTAGATTGCATCTCTGACGGAGAATATATAACATCCACGAGGCAAAAAAATAGAACAGAATTTGAATTTATATCCATCGGCATGTAAATGACGATGCAAAAGTGATTTTAGAGATACCAATTTACATTTATTTTTATACCACAATTGGAGATGGTTAAATATCTATAAGACTATTATAATCTACACGATATTTTCTTGATTCCCTTTAATTATTTTACTAATGTTTTCAAAGAATGTTGATTTAAGCATGCAAATAATATTAAATCACTAGGTTGATGACATGTTGAGCGAGATCAACAAAGCCACGTACATGTTCATATTGCCACAAAAAAAGGGATTAATTAATTAATTTAACATTCTATTTCCATGGTTAGTCAAAAGTCGACATCAATTTGCAACTGGGCCATGTGAAATTAAATTAAATTAAAAGTAGATTATCTGCGATTTGTGATAATTAAGCAATATGACATTATATAATCATAGTATTTGTCGATATTTTAAATATATAAAATAGCATGGTTTTAAATAATAACTACAAATGAATTTGTTTACATAAATCGATGAAAAATAATTGCATTTTAATTTTTAAAGCAAGCTCTCAAGCATAACGTAAATGTTTATGTGCCCATTTGATTCTCATTATTGTAGAATGCGAATGAAAAATATAATAATATTGACTATTATGTACTATTTAGGGTCCGTTTGATTCTCATTATTATAGAATGAGAATGAAAAATATAGTCGTTATTGAGCCACTCACACAAGAGATAGAAATTCAAAATTGATGATTTGATGTGATGGATAACGATCATATTTTTCGTTTTTATGGGTGAAAAATGAGAAACAGACGGAGGCTAAACAAGCTTAGAATATAAAATAAATATTTGAATGTGAATACACTATTGATATTTAATAAATACAAAACAACTACTCTAAATGAATATT